TTTTCCTTAAATTAGATATATGCACACACACATGCGCACACACACACAGGGATCAAATATACTTTGACAAACTTTGGGTGTGGGTTCTTGATACCATAACAAGGTAAAATGTCCATATAAACATTTGTCCTAAAGCCCATCATTGTATCTCAACACAGCAACTCATAACGAATATTCAAAATGCCTTCTGCTTGCTCCTACACATGTGTGCACCTGTCAAATCATTGATTGGTGGACCCTTTCAAATACTCACAATGTTGAATGGTTTTTCAGGTCCCCATGACATGTTGATGAAGCACCTCTGCATTATTAATGTCTGCTGCATAAACCAATTGTATTTATGTGGCCCCCACAAATAAAAATTCAAAGGATTGAGGTCAGGTGAATGTCCAGGCCATGGAACCAGTCCTCCCTTACCTGTTAATCATTTAGGGTAAAGTGCATTGCGAACAATATGACTAAAATGTTCTGGAGTCTCACCATGCATGAACCTCATGCAGCTTCGTAATAACAGGGGTACATCCTATAAGACGTGCTGGGAGAACATATTTACCTAACAGTCACCTAAAATTCTAGCCCACACATTAATTGTAAACTGATGCTGGTGTCTAGCCTGTATTGTATCATGGAGATTCCAATCTGGCCACAAATGTTGGTTGTGGGAATTTGTTATTCCATCTCTTCTAAATGTTCCAAATGTAAACAAGACTGAAGGAATAATCAACAGATCAGCAATTTGTGCTGTTATGTAGCCCTGTGTCCATTATTATTTATGTGGCTGTGAATGTACATGAATGCCAAATGTAATCTAGTCTACATGGCAACACAGCAGCATCTACTGTAAACTTTCTTTAAACTTAATAACTCAAATATGAAGGATTTGTGAACATATGTTTATATGGACTTTTGTCCTTGTTTTGGTGTGAGCAACCCACCCCCAAAGTTTGTAAAAGTATTTTTGATACACCTTGTATGTATGTATGTGTGTGTAAGAATATTATTTTAGTCTGAACTCCTCTTGAAGAACAAAACACATTACATAGTTTTTTTTTCCATTTTGTCGTTCAAATATGTAGCATTTGTTTGAATGCTTAATTACTATCTTTGATACATTTTACAAAGAAGAAATACTATAAATATTAGAATTGTCTATAAGAAAACCTTAAGTATCCAAGAGAAATACTTACAATTGATAATTTCATGATTTTTGGACCAGCCCAAGATGGTGTTTTTTTTTTTTTTTTTTTTACATACAGGTAACTCATTTTAGTTTAGTTTTAGTACCAACTAAAGGAGGCACGGTAGAGTAATGGATAGTCACTTAAATTGAGGAATCGGAGAGCTTAGTTCGAATTCTAGTCTAGTTCTTTACATTTACTTACACACTAATATCCTTGTAAAAGGTATGAATCCATCTCTTATCCCTCCAGCTGTAGGTAAATAGTAGGGCAGACTGTGCCTTATAGCCTTGGGTGGCTACCAGTCTAGGAGAATGAAAAAACTGAATTCAAAACCAGCCACTACACCTATTTTGAAAATTTTTTTATTGTATAAAAGTTTTTATAATATCATTATATAATTTTTTTTTTTATTTTATAAAAAGAAAAAAAACAAACTAATTTTTGTTATTGTGTCAGATGTTTTGGACAGTGTGCCAAGCCGAGAACTTCTCAGCACCCCATACAACTTGGTAAAATGGTTGCTTGCTTAGAGTCTAAAATGGGACATGATTTGACTTTTGTTTTAAATAGTAAATTCAAAAGTTTATCTTTTATCTTGAATTGGGCAAATTTCTCATTACTTATATAAAACTATTAATTATTCACAAACCTTCTTTCTACAAACCTTCTTTTCTTGATTTATAAATTAGTAATAAAATTTAAATTGAAGTTGTGACCACCTGTCATATGTCTAGATTTACCTTAGAGGAAATCTGATAAATTTTTATTTTTAAGATATACTAAAAAATGTGGGTACATAATGAGGAAAGAGAGCTTGGAAAATTTGATACTCACAAGACAGATTGACGGCAAGAGGGACAGAGGAAAATAAGGCATAATCTACCTTGCAAGCTTGAGTAAATGGGCGGCAGAGCAAGGTTTAGGATAGATATCAAAAAGACAAAATTTGTTAAGCGCTACAAGGAACAGGAAATTGTGGAGAGCCATGATTGCCAACATCTAGAAAGGACATGACACAATGAAGAGAAAGAAGAACCATAAAGATTAATTTTGTTTATAATATTTGATTGTGCTACTCTTTGTCAGGTGTCATTTGTGTTTATAGTCAATGTTGTGATGTTTAATTAAACTCTAACCGGGTACACTAATGATTAAAGCAATGTTTCTCAATCTTTTTAAGCAATGGCACACCTAGGAGCAAATGAAAATATCATGGCACACATAGAAAATTTTTTTTATAGGAGATATATAAAATGTGTATAATTATATATATATATATATATATATATATATATATATATATATATATATATATATATATAAAATGTTATGAGCTTAAATTACAGGTGCTAAAAAGTACAATAAAATATTACTATGAAAAAATTATAATTTCAGTACAATTAATTTCATTGTCATTTTATACAAATTTCAGAGTAATATATTTTTTAGAAATTGGAAAATTATGCTGCATATTGGAAACTTTGACAATATTAATTCATAATTCAATATAACTTTGTAAAAATTTTGAATTAAACAAAGAATGTTGAATACAAATATATATATATATAGGTTAATATCCATTTATCCAAAAAAAGGAAAATTTTAAAAAGTTAAAAAGAAATAAAACTTTTTAGAAAATGAATATTAAAACAAGTTATTTAAAATAACATAAGCAATGAATAGTGAAAAGAATTATTATATAAAAAAAGTTCAATACTTATTCATTTATTCAAATACTAATGCTGTACCATTACTACTTCCACACACACACACACACACACATGTATGCCAAGACAATATTTTGTGGCACACTTAAGAGGCATGGATTAGAGTCTAAAATTAGTCAATGATCTCATTGTACAAGATTGCAGTAAAGATCTCTTTATGCGGGATTTATGTGAAAAATTTGTTTTTGATAGACAAGTTAATAACTTCATTGATCCAACATTAGAAGTTGAATCCTCAACATTACACCTTGTATAATAAACTCATCAATGAGGATAAATAATAAATATCAAAACTTCTTTTAGAGAAATTTATTTTTTATTACTAGAAAAAGTGAATAATATCTTAGAAACAAATTTAAGTGAAAAAAAAATATCTATTAAAAATGTTGTCTAATTTAAAAAGATATTGGGTTTTGAAATGCATGCAAAAATTTTATAGTGAGAAAGTTTCTTCTATGTATAAATCACAAGGCCAAATGCTAAGTTGGGATTTGGCTCCAGAAATAAATATTTACTCATGGACAGTTGTATGTTGCATGTTCAAGAGTAAGGAATTGTAAGAATTTATTCTTCACTGTTAAAAAGGAAAAAAAAGAAATTTTCTTAAAAATATTGTTTACCATGAAGTCCTGTAAAATCTATTAAATTCTATGAATTCTGTTAGTCTGTCCATCTGTCATACCCTCTAAAATAGCAACATATTGACCAATCAAAACTAAATTTTGTGGAGAAGTGCAAACAAGTAAGGGGTGCAAAGTAAATTTGATTTTACTAGGGTCCATAGATTAGTACAATAAATTTTCATTAATATTTTTGGAAAAATCAAGTTGTATGATTTAACATACAAAGTACTCCTACTATTTTAAAAACAATTTAATGATTAAGTTAATAACAATACTTATTTAATAAAAATACAATATTGTTTTTTGCGTGTTTTCTTTAAGTTTTGCATACAAAAATCCAGTTCACCCTGCATTTGTGAGAACTATAAACCTTATCACACAGCCAAATGCTTCAAAGAAACTTTTACACATGGCTAGTTGTATGTTGCATGCTCAAGTGTAAGAAATCCTAAATTTATTTTTCACTAGAAAAAGAAAAAAACCTTTTAAAAAAACATTGTTTACCATGAAGTCCAATAAAATTAAAGAAATTATTAAACTGCAAAGTAGGGTTTTTGTCAAAGTATTTTTCCAAACAAATCTGCTTATTCAAATTTTATCGATTGATCTGCATAATTGAATGAAACAGAGTTTGTAAATCTTGACAAAAATTGTTAGTGAAAACTTCAACAATGTTAAATACTGTGAGAATTTCAACACACATCAACATATTGTAAAAAAAATTCTAGTTGTAATAAATTTCAATAATATAAAATAAAAATTAGTTGCTGCCCCTCAAAATGTTCAAGAACACTGACACACTTTCTTTGCAATATACTAAGATAAACATATGTCAATAATTAGTGTCAAGTTTTTGGTTCTGTCTCTTAGTGAACAACTAAATGTGGACAATCTATCACCTTACAATGTACTTTAGATTCCAAATTTCTAAAGAATGCATTAAATTTTATAAGATATATACTTTAAGTTTGTCATTCAATTTTGAAAATATAATCTGAAAACTTAGTTTTTCAAAGTTACACACAAATTGATTACATTTCAAAATTGATTCCTCTTATTTTTCATATTTTTTCAAAGCAATTTGCAATTTCCATATAATTTCCCTCCCCACTGTTTTTTTTTTTTTTTTTTAATCAGGCAAGAATTGATGGTTCCTGAAATTTTTTCCTACAGAATTTTGGCAATTTCAGCATTTTGCTTTCTATATCCTCCTACCTCTCCCACCATCTTTTGCTTTTTTGCCAAAATTGAATTTCAACTTGCTGACAAGTCTCTGATATAAACCAATGGCAATCCATTGTTTTTGGCAGTGTTGAAACAACTTTGCAATTTACAATGGCAAAGATTAGCAGTTTTTGCAGGAATGCTATCATTCCCAAAGAAAACTCATTTCTCTATTTATGATTCCTGTAATGATTACTTCATTCCAATGAAATGAACGGCTTTCGGTATTTCATCTTTGATTTCAGTCGGCATGATATTACAGATGAAGATAATTATGAAGACTTTGGTGAAGGAGAGGAATTAGAATCCCAATCAGAGGCGGATACACCATCTCATACAAGAGGACACATGTAAGTATATAGCACTGGAACGGCAACTGCTACTTAAATTTCTTGTTCATGCTTTTATTATTTACTAATTTATTTATCTCTTTATTTATTTTTCATCCTTAACTAGGTTAGTTCATGGATTTTTTTTTTTTTTGTTTTTAATAGAAGCAGCGATTTAACCAATTCAGCCATATTGAAATGCAGGAAGACGATAAGTTAAAATATAAATAGATAAATCAAGAAATAGTGCATAATATGTTTCCTTTCATGGAAATTATAATTTGAACAAAGAAATTAATTTTTGAAGCTTTGGCTACAAATATTTTTCTTTGAGGTTCTTAGATTTAATTTTTTTTCCTTAGTCATACATACATACATACATACATACATAACATTACATACATTCACTCACTCACTCACTCTGTTCTCTTGGTAATATATCTGGTTGATTTCTGTTAAATGAAACCTCAGTGACATGGGGTAGATGCTTTGTGAGGGGTTATTGTGCAAGAACAGAATTGGGTTTTGTAATTAGATTTTCTTCATGTAAAACGGGGTGGGGGACCTTATCTAAGGGCCAAAAAGCGTGGCCCCAATATTTCCACTTATGCAGAATCCAGTTATATATATATAATAATACTAGTAATAATCTTATGTATAAGAAATTATACTCGTCTGGAAAACCTTCGGTGTCTTGATTTGCAAATAGTCAAACCAATACCAAAGTGGAAAAAAAAGGTATAAAAAAAGAAAGAACATGTACGTTAACCAAAAAATAATCACCTAGGAAACAAAGCCAAACTCCAAAGACAAAAAACCCCGATATGAGTAAGCAAAATAACTAAATAAAGTGCTCAATATGTTAAGTAGAGCAGACCTAGTTAAACCTAGAGAGCCAGACAAACCTACCAATATATATATATATATATATATATAATATGCATTTCTTTTCTTACCTACCAGTAGCGCACAACTCTGAGTTTCATGCATAATGCTGATGAAAAACCTGAACAATTACATTGTGCATAAAACTCAGAGTTTGGCTGCCAGTGATGGAGGTGGGGGGGATGTATATTTATGATTATTATTATTAATATACATTTTAGCTCTGTTATTATGTCGAGCACTATTTTATTAACAGCAGCAGTCAATGTGTGATATTTTATATTCACACACACACACACACACACGTGTGTGTGTTCCCATATATAAGCAAATAATGAAATATGTAGCATTTTATTTACCACTTCTGCAAGTCTTAATTTTCATGCAATACCTGATGATTGCATTCTTCTTGAGACTGACTCAGGGTTGTGGAAGCGGTATGCAGAAACATTAGCTATTTCATTATTTGATTGTAAGCTCTGTCATTTGGCACTGAGCACTTGAATCTTTTACCATTATAAGCATTTTACCAGACTTTTTTGTTTATCTTCTAGTTGAGTGCCCATGAACCAACTTATTTAAAGTAAAAATTCTTTTTGGTTTATTTTCTTGCACATCTTTTTTTTTTTTTTTTTTTTTTTTTTATCTAAAAATACTTGCTTTTTCTTTTCTTTAATTTATGTTCATCAATATTTTCTCCTCAAAGATATACATTTATAAAGTTATTTTATTTTTTCTTAGCCTGGCATTCATTCATTCATTCTTGTTTTGCATGTGTATTAAGTACTAATTCCAAAAGATAACCAACCTCAAATACAATAAATATTGACTTTCTGGTCAACAGACTCGGTTCTGAAGTTGAGGGAATTCTTTTCTTGACTTGTTGGGTTTGAATCAAATATAAAGGAAATGAGTTTAGCTATAATAAATGATTTAATAACATTAAATAATTATTTAAAATAACTTGTTTCATTGCATATTAAATGCAAAAAGGCTTTATTACTGAATTTGAATTATAGTCTTTTTTTTTTTTTTTTTTTTTGCCTGTCTAAAACTCACAGAGCCAACTTGTCATTTATCCTGTAACTATGCTGAGCTAACCTTAGTTAGAGTTTAAGTACAGGATCTACACACGGTTTTGAATTTAGAGTCATTTCCAGTCACCATTAGGGAGTCTAGTCTGTCCTGCTATTTAATCCATAACTGAGGAGTGATGAAATGGATTCATGCCTTTATCAATGGAATTTGTGCAAAAGTGAATGTAATGATCTTGATCAGGATTTGAACTCAGCATGCTGATTTCTCATTCTGAGCCACCAACCATTACACCAACTGCACATCCTAGGCTTAAATACAAATCTCTACAGGCTGTTGTTTTTGGCAACTAGAACGTGAATACATTACATTATTTACATTAGTAACTGAATGCAAAATATTAAACCCATTATCTGCACTCAGACTAATATCCTCATCTTTGTTGTTGTCATAACATTTCGGTCATTGTTGCCCTTCACCAGGGCCTTGTCAATGTGCAAAGCATTCAGAGAGTTTTGAACTGAACTGTTTATCTACACGGATTGATTGTTCTTGTTCTGCTGTGTTGGGATATCTCGTCTAGTTCTTATTTAGTGTTGCTCAGACAGAAAGCCTTTTTTTTTTTTTTTAAATTAAAAATATTTCTGGAATTTGTCTTGCACACTCTTCAGAGAAGGCAAACACTTTTTTTCTTCTTTAGTCACCCAATGTAAAATTGAACATTATTCACACGCAAAAAAGAAAATAATGACAATAAAAAAAAAAAAAGGAAATAGAAAGGACAATGTAGAAGATTAATTAAAAAAGAAACGAAAAACTTGTAAGTGAAAAGCTCTTTAAATAATTTCTCTGATTAGTCTTTGTATGCACTAAACAATTTTTAAGTCTCAATTTATTTGGCTGGACCAAATCACTTGCAAACCACTTGAAGTCAACAAGTGTCACTGTAAATGAAGTCTACATTTTCATAAACACACAATGCTTATGGGGTAGAATGACTTTATTTTGTTTAGCCAAAGTGTGTGTAGCATGAAATCTCTCTCTCTCTCTCTATATATATATATATATATATATATATATATATATATATATATATATGAAATAAAAATACAGAAAAACAAAATTCTGAATATGCATTATTAATGAAAAATAAAGTCAACGTCGGACGTTTCGGTCTATTTATATCATCATGGATGTTTTTCAATTAAACATAATTAACATTATAACTTATAACAATTTACACAAAGGCGATGGACTATTTAAGACCATCATAATTTCAACAGATATTCATTTAACATAATTAACATTATAACATAACAATTTAATATCCATATATATATATATATATTTATATAGACCGATATATAGATAAATATCTATAGATGGATATATATATAACATATATATATATATATATTCAGAATTATGAGATATATATATATTCATATATATTTATATATATATATATAGGGAGGATTTATATATGTGTATATTGCTTATGTATATATATATATATATATTTATATATATATATATATATATATATAGATATATATATAAATAGATATATATATATATATATATATATATATATATATATATATATATATATATATATATATATATAGAGAGAGAGATATATATATATATATATATAGATATATATATATATATATATATATATATATATATATAGAGAGAGATATATATATATATATATATATATATATAGAGAGAGAGAGATGGATATATATATATATATAGAGAGATATATATATATATATATATATAGATAGAGATATATATATATATATATATATATATAGAGAGATATATATATATATATAGAGAGAGATATATATATATATATATATATATATATATATATATATATATAGAGATAGATATATATATATATAGAGAGATAGATAGATATATATATATAGATAGAGATATATATATATATATAGATATATATAGATATATATATAGATAGAGAGAGAGAGAAAGCTAGATACTAGCATTATAAGTAACTAGAAATAGCCATGAAAATTTCATGGTTTTCCTATTTGAATTTTCTGATGAATTTTAATTTTTAAGTTAATGATTGAATAAGCTCATGAGAAGTTCTATGACAATAAAATAGCCATAAAAATCCCTCCATTGCATTGTTAAATATTTAAGCTTAACAATAGAATATGAATGCTGGTCATTTTTTTAAGAACTAATGGGGTGCAAATGAAAGTATTAGTAATTGACAACTCTTTCCACTTCACTGAAACGGTCATTAAACATTTCTATCTTCACCTTTTCCTTCTGTCATTTTCTCACTGAAACCAAGTAGCATCTCTGATATATCTTTTCCCTCTTTCTATACTATCAAAACGAAATAGTCCATTATCTATGAGGTATTGGCAGGGCATAACGGTTGTGCTAAGGGATGGACAAGCAGAATTATAATAAGATTGCTATTCACTTGTCCAGTACTCTCCAGTCCAGTATGAGCAGCTGATATTTTTGTCATTTTGATTATCTTTTATAAATTCGTGTAAGGCTAAATTTAGTCTGTGGGCCCCTAACTTACATCACTAGAACAGTCTACATTTTTAACATACAATAATATTTGTTAATTGTTTTATACATTAAATGTGGTAAAAGGCCAAAAACTGATGCAGGAAGATGGCTGGTCATTATCTGTCCTGTCTTTAACTTAACTAGGCACTTATGCACAAATAACCTTAGGGAAAGGTATGAATCCACCTTTCTTCTCCCCAGCTATGGGTTAATTAGTAAAAACTTGTATCACTAAATCATTATTATCTAAATAAAAAAAATAAATAAATAAAAAAAGTCTAAAATATTTTCCGACTTTAAATAACCTGCAAAGAATTGAGAAGCCATAGAAAATGAATTAATCACTGAATCTAGGATTAAATCTTAGAAAATCTTGATCACACTACTTTCTCTATTCATATTTGTAGATGGACTTTGATGCCCTGACTTGTTATTTTCACTTCAGGTTGATTTGAGTAAAATGACAGTACACTGGTCATTGCAAGATTGAAGCAAAATCAATTAGAAACGAAAAAGCTTACTTGAAT